AAAATAAAGCATAGTAAGGGTGGGAGGCAGCACCGAGTAACAAGTGAGGCGTTGTTTTAACAAATGATCAGAAAAGATCTCTAATGTAGTGACATTTAAGCAGATGGAGACAGTAAAATTGCTTACAGTTCAGCCAGTGGAATCCAATGCTTTTGCTCAGGAATCTGCAAACTTTTCCTATAAAGAACAAGGTGGGGAAGAGTTTTGGCTTCGTGGGCCCTACAGTCTTGGTCTTCATCACAGCTACTCGCTCTATCATTGTATTGCAAAAGCAGCCATAGACAATACAGAAACCAGTGCGTGTAGCTGTGTGCCAATAAAACTTTATTGGTGGACACTGAAATCTGAACATCATGTAACTCGCATGCATCGTGAAATATTAGTCTTTGGATTTTTTTTCACTTAACAAACTAAAAATGGAAAAGCCATTCTTAGCTTATAGGCTGTGCCAAAACGGGGAGCAAACCAGGTTTGGCTCGCGGGCCTGAGTTTCCCGACCCCGACTTTAGGACATGCAGCCGTAAGGTGCTTCTCCCAGTTGTGGGATGACAGTGGGGACCCCTGTGGAGCCTAGAACACCAGGCCTGGCACACAGTAGGTGCTCTGTATGTACTTGTTGAAGGAGAGAAGGAAGGGAGGGAAGGACAGGAGAAGCAATCAGGGTGTCAGAAGTCCTACAAGCATGAATTCCTGGCTTGGAGCCCCAGGCTGGCAGTGACCTTGCCTAGCTGTCTCCCCTTGGGCTGCAAGGCCCTGTCCCTGCACTTCCTCAGGGCCTCTGCTAAGAGGTGCTGACCCAGCCTCTGAAATGCCCCCGAGCTCAGAGCCTTCTTTCCGAAGCTGGGAGCAGGCAGCCCTCAGGACCCACTGGATCAAATCTGTGTCCCCCGCCACCTGGAACACTCCCATTACCCACCGCAGACACCAACTCAGAAAAGGACGCACAGAGCCGCCAGCCCAAAGCCCACTCATGCCCTGTTCCCAGCATAATGACTCACAGGTCCACTAATTGCATTTCTAACCTGAACTTGGGTCCCCACTCAGAAAAGTCATTTGCATCCCCCACGCAGGGCCCCTGACTGCTCTATTAATCTCCCACTTGTCCCCTCTTGAGTCATCTAATATTACTGCTGGCTAATTAAAACATCAAAGCCCCGATACGGCAGCCCTGCCAGAGGCCTCCTAATGCTGGGTTTCAAGTGTGCACTCGGCACAGCCCGGGGTGGAGAGTGGCACGCCTGGCGCTCGTGTTAACGTAAAAAACCATTGAAACCTGTAAAGAATTTTTGTGAGTTTATTTGAGCCAAACTGTCGACATATGCCGGGAAGCAGAACCTCAACGAATTGAGAT